CAGTACAACCACCACCACCTCCACAGTACAGCCACCACCACCACCACAGTACAACCACCACCACCACCACCACAGTACAGCCACCACCACCACACCACACCACCACCCACACCATCACCACAGTACAACCCACCACCATCACCACAGTACACCACACCAGTACCACCACCACCACCACCACAGTACAGCCACCACCACCACCACAGTACACCCACCACCATCACCACAGTACACCCACCACCATCACCACCACCACCACCACAGTACACCCACCACCACCACCACAGTACACCCACATCACCACAGTACACCCACCACCATCACCACCACCACCACCACAGTACAACCACCACCACCACCACAGTACACCCCACACCACACCACTACAGCACCACCATCACCACCACCACCACCATCACCACAGTACACCCACCACCATCACCACAGTACACCCACCACCATCACCACAGTACACCCACCACCATCACCACAGTACACCCAGCACCACCACCACCACCACAGTACACCCACCACCATCACCACAGTACACCCACCACCACCACTATCTCCTCAAACCTGTAATGTGAAGCTATCAGCAGTACGAAGCTCTCTCTTGTCACACCGTCTCCTGAAGGGAGATGACCACAGTGATGATGGTGGTAGTGACGGTGTCACCATACGCCCAACCGGCAGACGTCACCATACACCACACCCGGCACACCTCACCATACGCCCAACCGGCAGACGTCACCATACACCACACCCGGCACACCTCACCATACGCCCAACCGGCAGACGTCACCATACACGACACCCGGCACACCTCACCATACACCACACCCGGCACACCTCACCATACACCACACCCGGCAGACCTCACCATACACCCACCCGGCAGACGTCACCATACACCACACCCGGCAGACGTCACCATACACCACACCCGGCACACCTCACCATACACCACACCCGGCAGACGTCGTCGCTACGAGTCATAGAACCTACCAGGCAGGAGGGAGCGGAGAGTGACGTACACCAGAGTGCCAGGAGAGTGCCAGGAGTAGAGGGCGGTGGTGTAGGGGCCATCCTGGTGTAGGTGGCACGCCTCCCCAGCGAGGCTGAGCCTGGCACTGAACCCCCACTACTGACGGAGGCGGCGGCGGCGGCGCCCCACACTACCACCAATCAATGACCGTTGCTATGCCAACCACCTTAGGAATGTCCAATCGTGCCCCCCTCCCCAGTGCACAACAGGTTTCCAGTGCACGGCCACAGTGCATAGCAGTGGCCCCCCCCACCAGTGCCTCCCCCCCCCAGTGCACAATAGGTTTCCAGTGCACAGCTACAATGCACAGCAGAGGCCCCCCACCAGTGCCTGGCCCCCCCCAGTGCACAACAGGTTTCCAGTGCACAGCCACAGTGTACAGCTGTGGCCCCCCACCAGTGCCTGGCCCCCTCAACCAGTGCACAACAGGTTACAAGTGCACAGCTACAGTGCACAGCAGTGGGCCCCTAGTGCCTGACCCCCCTCAACCAGTGCACAACAAGTTTCCAGTGCACAGCCACAGTGCACAGCAGAGGCCCCCTAGTGCCTGACCCCCCCAACCAGTGCACAATAGGTTTCCAGTGCAAATTACGATCCATATGGCTCTCTCTCTCCCCTCTTCACCCAGTACACAACAGATCCAGTGCACATCCACCTAGTGCCCAATAGGTTCCTACTGCACAACGGGTTACGGGCCACCAGTACAACCCTGTACACAATATTTAGACACAACCACACCTCTGCAACACAACCCGCCCCCATTAACACTATGCTATAATCACCTTAATGAGATCATTTAATCACACACACACACACACACACACACACACACACACACACACACACACACCATACACAGTTTTTAAATGTAGATATGATAGAGCCCAGTAGGCTCAGTGAATCTGTATACCAGTTGATTGACAGTTGAGAGGAGGACCAAAGAGCCAAAGCTCACCCCCCGCAGCACAAATAGGGAGTACACACACACACACACACACACACACACACACACCACACACACACACACACACACACACACGCACACACACACACACACACACACACACACACACACACACACACACACACACTGATCTCCCGTCCGATATTTGACGCTAACAAGGCTGTTAGACCTATGGTCCTATTAAACCACCGGGAATTAGCACCCATTTTTAGGCCTATTATAAATAAATCGGATTGCAAAATAATTCACACGTGATAATGGGTATACTTAATTGCATTCGATTTGTTTACAAACAACTAACTGTATACAGATGCATATGTATATGTATAGACACGTTCGAGCTGGAATATGTATTATAAGCTGACCAGTTTAAACACATACACGAATACATAAAGAAAACGGCAAAGGCCTATTGTCCCATACGAGGCAGCTGCTATTGGTCCATACGAGGCAGCTGCTATTGGTCCATACGAGGCAGCTCCTATTGGTCCATACGAGGCAGCTGCTACTGGTCCATATGACGCACACAGCAGCTGGAGACAATCCACCCACAACTTGTTTATATATATATATATATATATATATATATATATATATCCATATATATAGCTGCTATATATACGATATATATATATATATATATATATATATATACGATATATATGCTATATATACGATGTCGTACCTAGTAGCCAGAACGCACTTCTCAGCCAACTATGCAAGGCCCGATTTGCCTAATAAGCAAAGTTATTGTCCTGAATTAATATATTTTCTCTAATTTTTTTCTTATGAATGATAAAGCTACCCATTTCATTATGTATGAGGTCAATTTTTTTTATTGCTAGTTAAAGGCAGCTTACGTAGATTTATGACCGAACCTAACCAACCCTAACCTAACCTACGAGGCCTAACCTATCTTTATAGGTTAGGTTAGGTTAGGTAGCCTAAAAGTTAGGTTAGGTTAGGTACGAGGCAGGTTAGGTAGTCGAAAAACAATTAATTCATGAAAACTTGCTTATTAGGCAAATACGTGCCTTGCATACTAGCCTGAGAAGTGCGTTCTGGCTACTAGGTACACACATATATATATACATATATATATATATATATATATATATATATATATATATATATATATATATATATATCAAGGTGACAAATGACCTGTGGACCTCGTTCTAAATGCATTTCTGCTCCACTTCTTTATCTGTATTTGGGTATAATTGTGACCAATTGTATCGCTGTTAAAATGAGCAGTGTACACACACTCACACGGGTCTGGTAGCTGAGTGGACAGCACGCGGGACTCGTAATCCTGTGACGCAGGTTCGATTGGCAGTAAAAGGTACCTGGGAGTTAGAGAGCTGCTACGGGCTGCTTCCTGTGAGTGTGTGTGTGTGTGTGTGTGTGTGTGTGTGTGTGTGTGTGTGTGTGTGGAGGGAATTAATTAGTTAATAGTAACAGTTGATTGATTGACAGTTGAGAGGCGGGCCGAAAGAGCAGAGCTCCACCCCCGCAAACACAACTAGGTGAATACAACAACATTCACATACTAAGAAGGTTAGGTTAGGTCGTGGTTTTCTACAACAACAACAACAACAACAACAAGCTATACCAGTACGCTAAGCAAAAACACAGGAGGAAGAATACTTTACTGTGATTCCAAGTAATCTTGAACTTATATATATATATATGTAGGTTCAAGTCTTGAGCTTACATATGTTGCAACCTGCTCTCGCACAAGACAGCACATATATGACTTATTGCTTTTTGTCACTATTTAGCTTTATAAATAAGTACTTATGTGACATATTCCAAACCATATATTTTTTTCAAGGCACTAACTTTTTCTCTCAGTTTTATTAAACAATAGAAATTTTATACAAAATTTGACAATATCCTGAGTTACTTTACAATTTATTTAAATATTTTACTTTTGTTTTATTATTTTTATAAAACTGTAATATCAGTATAGGTATAGATTCAGTACTAATTGTAATATATTAACATACTAAGAAGGTTAGGTTAGGTTGTGGTTTTCTATTCAGCTTTTCAAGGTAAACTAAAAATATTCACAATAAATTAGTATG